AGCTTGAGGCAGAATGCATTTAGAGTCTGCCCTGTATTCATTTGGCCTCACTCTTAGCCTGGGTTTGTTCCTAGCATGAGTTGTGGACTAACATGCAGGCTTAGAACAGATAAATTGCCCACCAGCGAAGTATCCAGAAGAGTTCAACTCTCATTTAGGTACCAAATGGAAGTAGTTGGTATTCTCACTGCAAAAACTGCCTTTGTTTTGAAAAACCCAACCTTCTTCCCCCCCGCCCCAATATTTATAAACCTGCATACTCCATGCGTTTTGCTGTAAAGTTGTTCATTTAATTCCTGGAAGATGCATGGAGGAAAATTAGAGACTGAATTTGTAATGCTGAAGTTGAACTGATCGTAGTCAATCATGTGTAATGGTCTCATTTTGGGGGAAGAAAAATGCAGATCAGTCTTTCGGTGGAAATGTCACAAACTTTGCAATTGCATGCCAAATTCAATCCTTTGTTTTTTGAGCACCATCCTCATCAAACTTTGTGGTTCTTTTTGCTGGGGACTTTGATGGGTTGAGACAATATGAAAGTTAGATGCCAAAAAACTGTTAAGTCTTTGTCTGCCTTTTATTATACAGTCTTCCATACAGGAATTATGTATTATATTAAACCAGTAATGCGCTTGGCCTTAATCAGAAGAACCAAAACAAGTCATTACAGCTGTTGTAGTTGAATAATTTTTAATAGCAGAAAACATGAATGAATCGTACAAAAATAAGCTCTGCAGGTAAGTGAGATGTAGTGGAGGGCTTTGTGTATACAAAAACCATAAGCACAGAGGCTGTTGTTCATATAAAATGCCCAGTGCCAAGAGAAACCTATTTAGAAGTCACATTTGGAGTTCAAGATGGTTCTGCAACAGTCAAATGGTAAGAGACCCAGTCTACAGCTGTCAATTAAACCAATGGCATGTCATAGGTCTGTAACACTCAGGCTGGGCTTCCCAAGCTACAGGTGGTTCTGCAGCTTATCACTTTTGATGCTTCACAGAAAGTCTCATTAGGTTTTTTGCTACATTTCTTGGTTTGTCTTTCTCTGTGCATTGCATGGATTGGATAAGTCTTCCTTGAAACTGTAAATAATGCAGCGCACACATGCTCTCTTTCTTGTAGAACCAAGTATTGTAGTGTTTTAACTGAAGTGTGTGCCACAAATTTACATCATGTTGCTGTGGCTTTTGGGCTCCTGAGCCAGGTAGAGCTGAGTGTTGCTGTTTTAGGGGTTAAATCTTTTCTCGCTCTAAAGATGAGTCAGAATCCAGCTTTAAGGTCCCAAATAGTTAACAGAATTGTGTAGATTTAAACTAAACCCTGTCAAAAGCAAGAGTTGAAATACCTTCTCCCCTCACATTTTGTGTTAAGATCTAAGGACAGGATTGTTTTCCTTGTGACATTTAAACTTAGTAACATCCACAGGGGCTTTTGGTGCTTGCAAGGGGTGGGCTGAGAGCTGGTATCTGTTTCTAACTCCTGACTTCAGGGCAGTGGAGGGAGCTTGTGTGTGTGTGGGCTTGTGATACTTGCATCTCAGTAACAAAGCATTTTCAGTGTCTTCATAATGTGTTTATTATAAAATGAACTAGGTATTTTGACTTCAGGGCCCCTACATATGCACAGGCTACCACACGTGCAGCCCTTTACGGCAACATGTGCACAAGCAGAATCTGTGCAGCCTAGATGAAAGTTTTGTGTAATGCTTCCACAAGCTCTCCATCACCTTTTAGAGGTAGTTAATACCAGGTGGCCTTGAAGCACTGCAAAACCCAGCTTGTGTATAAGCATGACACAGCGGCACATACTCTAGCTGCAGGTCTTGCTGTTGCAAACTCTGTGGCTTGAGTCTTGTACTATAAACAGTACTTGCATGATGGTGCTGATGGAGTATATCCATCAGTCACAACTGTTTACATGTTTCATTCATAGCTGAGTAATACACCTGTCTCATAACACTGTTCTCTGATGAAGACTTCTTTTGCTAGGAGGAAGTGGTGACTTAGGTTCCTCGTTCAAAATAAACACAAACCCACAAATCTTGGCCCATTCTTCTAGGCTATCATAGGACAGGAACTACTGTCTCCTTTGTCTGCCGTTCTCAAGCTGCTTTGACTTTGTCTATCAAAGTTGAAGACGGTCATCTTTGCTTTGTCTTGAACTTGCAAAATACTCGTGCACCCAAGTTGCTTGGATGGCTTTCGTCTAGCTTTCTTTCATGTTAATACATAACTGAAAAAAATGTTCATGTACAGAATCACTTAAGGGCTGAAATGAGTTATGGCAAGCAAGCATACCAACGGTATGTTCTTGTCTTCCAGAGAGAGAACGGGTATAAATTGCTTATTCCCAAGGTCACAGAGCTATGTGGGGTAGCATTTTTCACGGTTATGTCTGTACTTCTCAGTTTTATTGCTGTGCATCTTCTGCTTTTTTGTGTGTTCTACCTACCTCTGAGTTTCTCTTAATCTTTGTGTTAAATCCTTCATTCCTCATCCACCCTTCAGCTTTGTGAACGCTAAGGAACAGATTTTCAAGTGTCTAGTGGAAGGCAGGGCAGGATGGCACCTCCAGAATAAACTGCCTCTGAGAGGCATAAACTTCTGTAAGCCAAAGCCTGTTTCCTTAGATGCTATCATAACTATCGTAGCATCTGATGAAGTTAGCTGTTGCCTATGAAAGCTTATACTGCTCTGAATTGGTTACTCTCTTAAGGTGCCGCCCTGCCCTGCCTTCTGCCTGACTTCAGTCTAACGTGGCTAACTACCTCTCTCTCAAAGCAGTTCTCAACCAGGATGCCATGGCACCCTGGGGTGCCTTGAGATACTTTCAATCTCAAGGTGTGCTGCAGGGTGTCACGCAAGGTTAGCACTATGAGGTGCATATACATGAGTCACAAGATAAACCCAGAGTTTTCAAAGAGGAATTTATAGTGTTAAAACCATTCTGACCTGCTGTGATCTTTCCTGAGTCCTTTGCAACAGAATAATTGTTGTATTAATTTTTTGATGTCAAGAAATAAGTCAAAACTAAGACCTGGCATTTCCCAAGCGGGGGTGGGAGGGGGGGGGTGGGCTTGAGTCTACTGAGGGGTGCCTTGAACCAAAAAAGGTTGAGAGCCATTGTTTTAGCATCTCCTAGCCCCTGTTCAGAGGGAGCTGCTTTCACCTGAGCCCCTCTGAAGACCTGACTATTTACCTAGGTGAATAACTGGTCTCTTGTTAGGGTTTTCTTTCTCTCTTGGATATCTGGCCCTTACGAAGTAATGGGAGTACAGCATACTCCAAGTCCACCCTAATTTTCAAGTGTTCCTCTTGTGTAATCTTCCACTAATCCTCCTCCCCTGTTGATACTGCAGCAGTAATTCTGAGTCACTAGTGACGCTTTCTGGGTGTCTGTGTAAAGTCTCCTAACACTACGTAGCTCAGGGAATGAAACCTGTCTTGTTAGCTGTGGAGTGACTTCTTATTTCCTAACAGCACTTCCTTAAAAACAAACTCCATCTTACAAAGGTACAATAGGGCTTTTGAATTCAGGTTTTTGTCACTTGACCCAGCCCATCCTCCTGAACTTCTGCAATACAATCAGGGCTTTTTGGTGCGAGTCATCCTAAAATGTCTCGTTGCCTCAGCCAATTACGGTGCACAAAGCTCACAGAGGGAGATGGTTATGGAGTTACAGGAGAACATGCGGGCAGTAACATTTCCTTTGATGCTGTGACACATTGTCCCTCTTGCAATGAAGCAGTATAAAGCAGCGGCTGCACCTTGCTTCAAAAGATAGGCACTGGCATTTGTGTTTAATTAGGCTATTCGCAGTCTTGCTCACCCCCACAACAGAGAGCAGCGGGACCCTGGAAGGGATGCCAGGAGAACTGCCTTCTTGCCCTGGGTAACCAGACAAAATGAATCTATCTTCTTACCTCCTCCAATCTCCCCTTTGCTTATTTATTGTGTTCTTTTTAAATACCATTGTTTCCTTTCTACCTTTTTAATATTTGCAGCCACTTCTGTAAGTCACAGAAACACAGGGTTTACTGAAAAGCCTCCTAAACACTGTTTGGTCTCGTTCCTTTGATGCGTGATAATGCCTGATGGCTGGTTTGATCAATGTGAGAGATTATGGAAAGTGTCGCTGTTAATAACAGACTGGCTTTTGCTAGATGGAGTGCTTAGACAATTCATTTAAGGTCTAAATGGCAAAGGATGCTAATAATATTTTAATCTTTTTGGAGACAGTTGGTTTCCATTGGAGAAAAGCATGTTTATAGAAATGTCCTGTTTTATCATCTTGAGAGGTCTAAAATTATGGAAGAGAAGCTTCCAAACAAAAAGTGTTCATGGGAGGGAAGAAACTAAAGCCTTGTTGGTACTGGGGATTTTCCCTGTTATTGTCTTTTGCTGCTTATTGTAAGCTGCTAGTGAAGACTGGCAAAACAGCACTTTGCATTATTGCAGCTTTACCCTGATTTCTGCCAGTTTGGATGCTGCATTGGCACAACTATGACTTGTAATGGTTTCTCCACTTCATGCACGGCATTTGAATTCTGGTAGCTGCAGCAACAACAAAAAAAAATCCCAATTAGACCAGGCCAGAAAGTAACTTGCAGCTAGGTGAGCCCTGGTAGCTGGCGACTGTCAGGCTAGCTGGAAAAGGAGAGTTTGTGGGAGTCTTTTGTAGTAACTCCCTTGGTAAGTTAATCTCTGAGGCCTGAATGCAAGTCCTGTGGATCTTAAAAGCAAAACCAGATCCATTATCTGAAATGCAGGAGCCAAATCAAATGTGTACATGAGACTTACCCAGTAGAGGGAGACAAAGAACCACACTGTCGGGATGGATCTTACATGGGTATGTAGCTACTTGCTGAAGTGAAAGGACTGGGGACTTCAGTATGCAGAGTTGGAAGAACGGGGGTGGTAGGGATGTTTGCGCACACTCATTGATCAGTTGGTCTCAGCTCTTGCCTACTGAAACTGATTTTGTCTCCAACTTTTTTTCAGGGTTTCCACGGTCCTTATCCCTTCGGACAGTCTTAAAAATCAAAAAACGGGTATCGACAAGAGGAGAATTTAACAACTGACTTACGGGGGCGGGAGGGTGGTTCTAATGGCTTACTGAAGACACAGCATGGACCCCCCCCTTCTCTGCCTCCATGTCCTGGATAACGAAGAAAACAATAACTTAAGACTAGTTGTTTCCAGAGGAAAAAACAAAACTAAGTATGCATGTGTGAATGCTGAATTTTCAGGAGTGCTGTTCAATGCTACAAGAAAGAAAATACACCAACACCATTTTTTTTTTTTTTTTTTAGGAGTCATTCTCACGATTAATTAGGTAGCTTAAAAGAAGTTTAAACATTTAAAATGAAAAAGCCATCTTTTTAAGAGAAATTATTTTGCCTACAGAACGGTTGTAGTTTGAGCAAATGTTTAATTTCTTTGTTTGTTTCCTGTTCATATTTTTTTTAAAATAAGGGACAGCGTGCATTTTTATCAATTTTGTGCTTGCCTGCTACAGAACGGGAACTTGCTTAGCATCTTCTGGGGTTTGTGCTGTGGCTTTGTTTTTTGTATGTTGGGCATTTTTTATGTAAATTTGGGTTCACGCCCAGCTCTCTGGATTTTAATGACTTCAGCTGTTCTTAGTTATCTACCTTTTTAATCTTTTGTTGAATCTTTCCCCTTTTGAGGGATGCTGTTGGTATTCCACACCTGTCCTTGGAGATTTAAGTCAACACCAGATTTCATTGTCTCATAAGGAAGAGGGGACTGCAGGACTAAGCTCAGATAATATGGGAGACTCCTCCCAACCCCCTTGAAACTTGAATACACAAAACATATATATATTTTGTTTCACTATATATATATATATATATAT